AGCTGAAATCCTCAAGCGTGAGGGAGCTTTCATCAGCCCGGGACGACTTCTTGAGGATGCATACCGTACCAAGAGCCTTTTCCACTGGCTTGCTCTGGGTTCTGGTAGTGTCTTCTCGCGCATGCAGTACATCTTGCGCAACGAGAGCCGCTCGGGAAGATACTACTCCCGGGACTCCGCCGCTATTGCGTACGCATGCCGTGATGCAAATGCGCAATTCATTGACTCTGTCTTCCTTGATGCGCTCAAGAAGGTTGATCATGATTTCAAATCTGCTGTGGACCTGGGCAGCGGGAGCGGTGAAAGGCTGATGCAAGTCCTAGACTGCTACCCCGGGAGCACTGCCATCGGCATTGACATTGCTGGCCCAGCGATTGAGGTGGCCAAAGTGGGCGCTGTTAAGCGCGGCTATGGGGATCGCATCACCTTCCTCGAGGGCGATGCTCGTCGGGTCGAATACCGCGACGAGTTTTCCGAAGTCGACTTGCTGACCTCCTTTTTGATGGGCCACGACTTTTGGCCCAGGGAGACCTGTGTCAGCTCTTTGCAAATGCTCCGCCGGTCTTTTCCCAACATCAAGCGCTTCTTTCTCTGCGACACTGTGCGCATCTCGATCGGGGACCCCGAATCCCGGCATGCTGTGGCTGATGATGCTCTGCCGATTTTCACGTTGGGATTTGAGTTTGGGCACGCGCTCATGGGAGTGAAACTGCCCACAGTGGAGGATTGGGAAGGGGTCTTCCAGGACGGTGGTTGGCGATGCATCAAGCAACATCACATGTGCCCTCCTTCGCTTACCGTCTTGTTCGAGCTGGTGCCTTTGGAGGCAAAGGCGTGAGCGGAGTCAACGCCATGAGTGGCCTCAATATTTAGATCCCAACATTAGACAACCAATTGAAGATAGATCCGATACGTAGCTGGAATATTCATTTCACACTCGGGGAAATATCTCGTGATTTAAACTTCGGAATACTTGCTCAGCTGGATCCGTGGGCAGAACGATGATTTCGAACATGTTCCGGTTCTCACGTCGGCAATGAAAGGTTGCTTTGGCAGTCGGTATTCCACTGAATATTCCATCCCAGCGTTCTCTGTTAGCCGAACTCAAGTCAGCTGTCATGATTATGAAATTGAAAGGGGGTATGGCAAGGCGGGAGGCAGAAAATCTCACCATCCACTCCAAGCCCCTGAACTACGGCTGAATGGGAGATCACAAATGGTCTACCGTGTACCGTAGGAAGGATTTAGGGATAGTTCTTTCACCATGGGATGATGGTTCATGGAGGAATATCTCCCAACACAGATGATAGAAGTGACCACAACCGGTTTCAACACAACTGCAAGTCTGCAACAAAATCTGGTGGTTATGCTAAAGATACAATGACATGGTTTCCTTCATCGTCCAGGGTAACAGTAGTAGATTCGACTCAGAATATCGCTCCATGACTGACACGTCCATGTTTGGTCCATGCTGACATGTCACTCGCGTGGCTATATTCTTAGGGTGTTTCTTCCCCTCTGTCAACCTGGCCTCGCTTGACCCACAGCCAACTCTCATCACTTACGGAGACACTCCATGCCCCTCATGAAAACGAAGAACGTCTATGAAAGCTCACCAATCATAGATTTGTGGAAATCAAGATTTTTGATCTCGGCATGGAGGCCTAAAGAGGCAGTACCGAGGAGGTGTGAAACTTGCCCTAGGCGCGGCTGTGATGTATCAACTTCTGAATGTCCGGGACATCCCTAGAGATCCGTAGGTCCCTACAACCTGCGCAACGACGGAGTTTGTGCTGGACCGTCTATGACCGACGGGATTTCACTGACTCGAGCATCCCTTCATGGATCACTATCCGACAGTCCCATCACTTCTTGTCGGCAAATCACCTGCTCTAATTCCGGCTGGCTTCTTTGCGGGCCGTTCCGTCGTGAACCGTTGCGAACGCGCGGCCGGCAAGTGCCCTTAGTGACCCACATGAGGCAGTAATATTTCATCAATGGATCGGAGCCCAACCCATCCGGAATACTGGACTCGGTAGGAACCTCCGTTAACCTTCAACGGCGCGTCTCCGTGGAAACCACGGAAGTTCGCGCATATGCAGTGAACTTCCTCGCATTAGTGGTAGATCATCGCATCTGAAGATCACAAATGCGCGCTTGGCCAGGGTCTTGGATCGATCAAACTTGGGATGCCATTAGTCCGTTGAGCTGGAGCCACATCTCACGATATTAAGCGATATGGATATGCGCTGTCAACATACACATAGAGGCAGCCACCCCACTTTGCACGGTGGTTTATTTTCGCTTCAGCGGCATCAGCGGGGCCAAGGCTATTCATTCGCTTCAATTAATGGTCCAGACCAGACTTTCCATGGGCTGAAGGCTAGATGCTTTTCTGAAAGATCATATTGAGGACACTCTGAGTTGCAATACCCTTGCAGTATGTTTCCATATCACGAACACGTGGTTGACGTATGCTCCATCTCAAATATGACATCCTGTTATACAGAATTCTGCTGGCGAAAGCAGCAGGTCCGTTGTCTTGGCGATATGCAAAGCCACGGAAGTCGTGCAAGGGAGGCCGAAACTGCTGAACATTGTATAGACGGAGTTTCCGTGTTCATCTTCCATTGCGCGGAGAGCATTGAATAATCGCGCTCCTGGGTTTTGACGTGAACTGTCGCTGTCTTCGCACTTGATCGATTCACATTGGTATAAAGATCGTCGGAGAAAGGGCATGTTCAGGGACCTAATTGCAAGGTTGGACACGAACCACCATCTCCGACACCATGATTTTCTCCTCTCGTTATCAAATCGACATCCCCGCAGTGGATATCCTTACTTATGTGTTTGGTGAGATTCACATGACCACTCTACAAAATTTGCGCTGGCCTAGTTGACCAAGAACGCAGGTACGCCAGCGTTGCAGAGTGATCCACCTCTTTTTGTCGACGCAGGGAAGCCTTCGGAAGCACTTCGCAAGGGTGAACTAGAGACCTGCGTGAAAAGGCTTGCCGGTGGGCTTCGTCAGGCCCTCGAGTTACAGGTTGATGATGTTGTCGTTGCATTCGCCAAGAATTGCGTAAGTAAGAGGTTACAAAATGATCATCCGCTTGGGACTCTAAAGTCTCATCGTTCTAGATTTGGTACCCGGTAGTTTTTCTTGGTGCGATTTGCGCCGGTGGGATCTTCTCCGGCGCGAATTCGCAACATACTGCGACAGGTAAGGGCTTTGTCTCTCATTGTTTCCCTGTTACTAAAATGCGTCTAGAACTTGTCGAGCAACTCAGTCTATGCAGAGCGAAGTGCATTTTCACTGACATTGAGCGACTCGAGAAGGTTATTGAGGCTGCCGACGCTGTTGGCTTGCCGAGGTCTTCGGTCGTACTCCTTGACGGGGAAGATCAGGCTGCGACCGGCGGATTTCGACACATACGTGACCTGTTCGGCGAACCGCTCGCATGGCAGGTTGAAAATGACACAGGAGTGTTGACAGAGAAGTAACAACGCTACCTTCCTTGCATTAATATGACAAGAGTTAACAATTCAGCAAGGATTGCTGCCCTAAATTTCAGCAGCGGAACTACAGGAAAGATCAAAGCATGCATGATCACACACTACAACTTTGTGGCCAACAGCGAACAAACACTTCACCTTGATCGAATGAGCAAAGCCCGAGCGAAGGATTCGGATCAAACGATGCACGATGTCCATTGCATATTTTCCGCGTTCTCCCATGCTAGTAAGTCAGGGAACTGAGACGAACGCAAGCGTGATAACTGATGACGGCTCTAGGTGGTTTACTCACGTGCTGCGTGGCCAACGTTCGGCGATCATGCACGACTATTGTCCTCCCCGAGTTTCGTTTAGCTACATTCCTTGGTGCTATTCAAGAGTTTCGTGTCACGCACCTGCTGTTAGCCCCACCAGTGGTTGTTCTGTTGTTGAAAAGCGATCTTTTATCGCGGTATGATGTCTCGAGTGTGACATCTCTCGTCTGCGGAGCAGCGCCCTTGCAGCCCGATGTGTCCAAGAGACTCGAGGAAGTCTTCAACCCCAATAAGGCGCACAGTCGGCAAGGATGGGGAATGACCGAGGCCACGATGGCTGTTACCCTCTTCGCCCCTGACGAATTTGATCCTTCTCACAAAGGTGTCGGGTACCTTCTTCCCAACATGCGACTTAAGGTCGTCGGCCATGATGGCCGCGAGGTGGGCCACGAAGAAGAGGGAGAGGCCTTCATTCAGGGCCCAAACATATTCAAAGGCTATTACAAGGATCCAGACGCAACACGAGAGAATTTGACAGAAGACGGCTGGCTGAAAACGGGAGACGTTGTCAAATTCCAGAGGAACGGCCTTTTGACCATTGTTGATCGAAAGAAAGTAGGCCTTCCTTCCCATCTCAGTCCGAGCAGCGTTTGGTTTTACTGACAACTCCAAGGAATTCATCAAAGTTGGCGGAGTGCAGGTGGCCCCCGCCGAACTTGAAGGGCATCTCCTTGAGCATGAGCTTGTTAAAGATTGTGCTGTGATACGCGTGATGCGGTCAGTCTGATCTCTTCATACCTTTCACGTCGCCTTGACTGCAGAGGGCTTTGCTGACGTGTGCTCTGCAATTTAGAGACGGACAGGAATGTCCACAGGCTCATATCGTCCCCGCGAACGAGAACCTCGACGTGGAATCCATCGTTGATTTCATGGAACATCGACTCGCGGCATACAAAAGACTCACGGGAGGGGTTGTGTTCACGAAGGCCATCCCGAAGTCAGGTTCGGGCAAGATTCTACGTCGATTGATACAAGACCCCAAGGCAGCTGCTTAGACATGTGACGATTACAGCTCAAAGGAAGGACGTTGAAGATGACGACGCAACTAAAGAGCAGCGAGGCTATCATTTATTTTTCAACTGGGTCGACGAAATTGTGACCCAGATCCTTGCATAGATGATCCCTCAACGTTTAGCTTTCTCCGAAGAACTCGCTACCATCTTGGGAACCCTAGTGGAAATACTTGGGAACGACGGCCTTGTAAGCGAGCCAAGCTTCCTCCATTGCTTTCACTACATCCTCTGGCAGCGGTCCTTTCTCCAAGTCGTCAAGATTCTCCTCCAGCTGCTTCAAGTTGCTTGCTCCAATAATGATCTTGTCTCCCTTTTCTTTGTCCAAGGCGCTGTGGTGAGAAAGCCATCTGAATGCACATTCAGCCACAGAGAGGTCGTGTTTTGTTGCCGCCGACTGAATGATTTCCAAGGCATCGAAGGCAATATCACTGCCGTATCTGCTTCGATACATCGCACTCAGAGCATGCTTTGAGTCGAAACGAGAGCCTTCCTGAAAGTCGTTGCGACGTTGCCTGGACGTGAGGAACCCCGCAGCCAACGGCTGGAACTCGTAAAGGGCTATGTTGTAGTGACGAAGGCAAGGGAGCAATTCCAACTCAACCCCGCGATGGAGTGCGTTGTAAGCACCCTGGTATACGGTCGGCTTGATCCAGCCGTTTCTGTCGCACAGCTCCCAGATCTTGGCCACCTCCCAAGACATGAAGTTGCTGATACCGAAACGGTTGAAGTGTCCCTCTTCGTACAATTTGTTGACCTCGCTCAGTGTTTCCTCGAGTGGCGTTTCGCGATCTGGACCATGGAGATACCAGAGATCTATCTTGTTGGTGTTGAGCGCCTTGAGGCTGTCCAGCAGTCCGCGACGGACGTCTCCAGCACGCAGCGTGTAGGACAGTGGCCCCGTGGCCCCAGAGGTCTTGCTGTTCGGATATAGCTTGGTTCCCATCACGATACCGCGCTCTTCCCATTTGGCGTCAGCCAGATAGGTCTCCGTCGTTCCTCCGCCGTACAGTCGGGCTGTGTCGATCTCGTTGTGGCCGCGGAATTGGAAGAGATCTAACATATTATTAACATCTTCGACGGTGGTGACCTTGAGACCGCTAATAGTAGGTGACCTAATTGTTATCGCCCTGAAAACGATGGGAATCGCTATTTCAGATTTTGAAGCTATTGTGTTGTTAATGATCATAAAGAATGTGTTGCAAGACTAAGTCGACTGAGTGATGTCTACGTAGAAAACGCGGAAGTTATAGATAAACATGTTCTTTTCTATATTTCTAAGTTTTGATACTAACCTTTATGACGTAATGATGTTAATAATTCCCCTGCAGCACTTTTGTCAGCAGCGTGCAGTGTCTAAGCAGAAGTAAAAGGGAGATAACATATCTCTGCTAAGCATATCACAAATATATATAATACTATATCCTAGGCTAAACTCCTCTACTACGACCTATAAATAAGGATAATAGCTAAATAACTTACTTAAGTATTAAGCAGCTAAGATAGTGGAAGGGGGCAGAGAACTTAGAATTTTTAGCAATTTTAACTTAAAAGTAAGGGGGGTAGATAGGCGTTTTTATAGGCGTTAAGCGCTATTATAAGAGGAAAAGGTTATATAAGTAAATAGAGGCCTAGTTAGCCTATAACAAAAAGGACTAAGTAAGAAAGCAAGAAATACACTTATTTTTATATAAATTCCTATTTTTCTTTAATAACTTTAGTAACTACCCCCTTAGAAAAGTTTTTAGGATTCTTTAGCCTAACTTATAGAAAAAGTTTATGAATTTTTACTTTTTAAAAATTAAATAAATATAAATATTTTTAAGCTCCTTATTATAATATAATAAGGTAAAGGAGAAAACTTATTAATTATACTAAGTACTCTACTCTAAGCAGAAAACCCTTAAAAATACTTAGACACTTATATATTAATTTTCTAGATAACTATAAGAGATATAAAAGCGAATATATAAATATAAACTTAACTAAATTATACTTTATTTATATTTTTTACTCTCTTTATACCTTAAGTTATATAATTTCTTAAAAAGAAATAAACTACTAAGAAGAAATTTAGTAGTAATATCTTTATAGTATTTTACTCTATTTTTATTTTAAATAATTAAAGAAGTATAATAAAAGCTAAAAAAAGAGATAAAAATAAAGCTAACTAAAGCTAGAGAAACTTAAAAATACCTATATTTATTTAATTTTTAAAAAGTAAAGATTAATAAACTTTTTTTATAAACTAAACTAAAGAATCTTAAAAGCTCTTCTAAAAAAGTAATTATTAAAGTTATTAAAGAAAAAATAAGAATTTATATAAAAATAAATATATTTCTTATTTATCTATTTAATCTTTTTTATTATAAGCTAATTAAGCTTCTATTTATTTATATAACCTTTTTCCTCTTATAATAACACTTAATACCTATAAAACGCCTATCTACCCCCTTTCCTTTAAGTTAAAATTACTAAAAAATTCTAAGTTCTCTACCCCCTTCTAATAACTTATAAATAAGGATAATAGCTAAATAACCTACTTAGTGTTATAGTTAGCTATCTAATAGTAAAGTTTATTAATAAAAGCTAGGGATTAATACGTTCTAATAATATACTAAGTTATAGTTTAAGTTAAAAGTTATAAGCTATAGTAGATTAAGTTTTTAGAGACTAAAGTAATTAGTCTTAAGCTTAATAAGTAATTTATAGTAAGAATAAGCTAAAAGTATCTTAAGGATAAATACTAAGTTAATTACTAAAAAGCTATAAGAATCTAACTTTAAGCTAAGTTTAAGTTATACTATATATAAGTCCTAAATAGTATTTTTTATTTACTTAGAAGTAATTACTTAGGTATATAAAGTAATTATAATTAGTTAGTAATACTAACTAATTACTAAGTATTCTATTTTATATTCTACTAATTATTTCCCTATTTTATTATTATATAACTTATATTATAATTCTTCTATATTAAGTAAGTTCTTATTATTTTTATAATTTTATAATATAAATATCTTATTCTAGCTACTTAACGCTTAAGTAAGTTATTTAGCTATTATCTTTATTTATAAGTTATAATATTAAATCCTCTCTCTAAAAGTTTTATCTTTAAAACTTAATATAAATAGGTTATTAGTCCTAAATTAGAGATTTATTAATTATACTTCTTAATTTACTTATAATACTAATATTATATTAAGTTATATTTAAAAATTAAAATTAAGTTCTACTTCTATTTTTTATTATTATAATTATATATTATATATTATTAAGTTTAGTTTTATTATTAATATACCTTATTCTTATTATTATTCTATAAAGAAGTATTATAAGTTTCTTTTAAGTAGTAAGGTTTATAATAAATATATTTACTTAAAGTAGTTTTATAATATAATAGTAAATACTATTTATATTTATAAATTTCTATATTTTTTATATTTTATATATATTATTAACTTATTATAGTTAACTATTTACTAAATAAAGTAGCTTATCTAAAAGATATAGAGGTAGCTAAAGAGGAGATATTATAAAAAAAAGTTATTATTTTATATATTATATAAATTAAGTTAGATAAGTTTATAATATAATTAGATTATTTATATAAATAGAAAAGAATAGTTTTCTAAAAAAGTTAAGAAGTTATAGAGGAGGAGCTAATAATATCTCTTATATTAGAGGTTTAATTAATAAGTAGCTTTAGTATAATAGATTTAGATTTAATTTTTAATTAAAATCTTAATATTTTAAACTTCTTATTAAGAAAGTTTTAATTATATTTTAATATTCTTAATTAAATTAATAGTTTTCTTTATTATAATCTATTTATTTCTATTAAGAGTTTAATATATCTATATAGGTATTTAATTTATAAATAGCTATTAATATTTATTTAACTAAGAGGTATTATTAATACTAATATAGTTTCTTATTCTTAGTATTATTACTAATAAATAGTAAGTTTATTAGTTATATTAGTGAGGTTTTTTATAAGTTCCTAAATATTATCTTTATATTTATATTCTTTTTACTTAATAAGATATTAATATCTTTTAAGCTTTTTAAAATAGTTAATAATATATTTAATTTTATATTTTAGTTTATTATTCTCTATAATAGTAATATTACTTATTTATAATTCTTATAAAGTTAGTTTAAATAGTAAGATATAAAATACTAAGTAATATTTTATAATATTTAAAAGTTTAAGCTTATAGTTAATTAGTAAAATAACTTATAAGATTTTAAAAAGTCTAAGTTTTTTAAAGTTAAGTTTATTATTTAGTTATTTTATTTTAATATTTTATTATATAAAATAAGTACTATCTCTTTCTTTTAAAGTTAATCCCTTAATTTTTTATTTATTACTAAATTAAGTTATTTATTATTATATAAATTTAAGTTTTTTTATATATATTTTTTTAGATATTCTTAATTTATTATACTGAGGTAATAGCTTTTATTATAGCTAGTTTTATTTAAAGTTCTCTATAAATAGTAAGTTTAAATCTATAATTAAAGTAGAAAGAGGATTTTTTAATATTTTCTCTTATTATATTATTATAAGTAAATTAAGTTATTAATAGTAATATAACTTAATTATCTTAGTTATAGTTAATATAAGTATAGAAATAAGTTTTAAAAATTTAGTTAATTTATTCTATTTATTTATTAATCTATAAATAGAATATAGTAGATATTAATTATTTAATACTAAAATATAATATAATTAATTTCTAAAAATTAGAAGTAAAGATTTTATTTCTATTTAATATAATTTCTTTAGGTATTCTATAGTTAGTAATAATATACTTAAGAAATATATAAGTATATTTTTTAGTATTACTTATTTCTTTATATAAGATAAAATAAGTATATTTTATAAGTTAATCTATAATAATAAGAATATTATTATAGTATATTCTTATAAAGAGTTCTTAAGATTTTAATAGCTTAATAATAAAGTTAAGTAATATAGATTATTAAGTAGTTTATAATATAAATAAAGGTTATAATATATTATAAAATTAATATTAAGTAGGTTTACTTTTAAAGTAAACTTTATAATCCTTAGTTACTTTTACTATATATTCTCTAATAACTTTTTTTCTATATTACTATTATAGTTATTTTTAAGTTTTTATAATTCCTTAGTAATTATATATAAGTTAAGTATAAAACTTTATAATTACTTTATTATTTAGTTTATTAAGTAAGTTAGTTTTAAATTATTTAGTTATTATTAAGAGTTTAGTTATTAATATTAAGTTTCTATTATTATTTCTTTTAAGAATTACTTAGGTTTTTTTAAATATTAAGATATTATAGTTTAGTTATTAGCTAAAAATATTAGCTCTATTATTATTTAATTCTTTTTAATAGATAATTTAGAAGTTAAACTTAGAAAGGAATTCTAACTATTTAACTTATTATTTATTTAATACTTTAGAAGTAGTAAAATATAAGAGGTTTTTATAATTTAAATATATAAGTATTTTATAAACTATTCTTAAAAGTTTAGGTTTTTATTTTTTAAAAATTTTAATTATTACTATAAGTTCTTTATTATAGATTTAATAATTAAACTTAAGTTTATAGAGTTTTTAAAAGAAAAAGGTATATAAATATAGCTTTTTTTTTAAATCTTATTATAATAACTATATTTTAAAAATATAATTTAAAAAGTTTAGTTTTATTTTAAACTATTTAGTAGGGTTTAATATTATTAAAATTAATTTACTATTAATAAAGTTTTTAATTTTCTAAAAAGCTATTTATTAAAGTTCTTTTTATATAAAAGAAATATTTCTATAGCTAAAGTTAATAAGAACTATATTAATCTTATTATAGTTCTTAATAAATTTTTAATAAAAATTAATAAAACCTAAAAATCTTTAGATTTCTTTAAAATTCTTAGGTTCTAGCTATTCTTTAATAGTTTTAATCTTATTCTCTAATATTTAAAATTCTTTAAGAATAATAGTAAATCTAAGATATTTTACTTTTTAAATATAGAATTTACTTTTTTTAAGTTCTACTAAAAACTTAGTTTTTTAA